CCGGAATCGAACCCAGGACCTTTCAGTCCCCAGGCCGACGCTCTATCCACTGAGCCAAACCAGCTAAGGCCAAAGCAACAGAATCTTTAAAAGCAGAATGTATTCTACTGTTCGCTGAATTACACTATCATAATGAACCCGTGCCATTATCAGCACAAAAGACAAGCCAGAGCTCAAAAAAGTCAGTTAGGTTGAACTGAATGGACTGATTCAATTAAAATTTAAGAGTTTAACCAATTCAATGACAAAGTTCAGGCAAACCAGATGTGACGTTCTGTCATATCAAGTTAAGTAGCAAGATGACCAGATGCTGATCTTTTTGGCCAGGAACATACCAACCACCAGGCCACTTAGGCTGCTAGCACATTTGCCGAAGAGCCGACGAGTAGCTGGGTACTAGGAATAAATGCTGAGCGGTGGGAAAGCATCTTTACCCACTAAGCAAGCACCTAAACCTAAAGTTAAATTGCATTTTTGTTTGTTTTACAGGTGTGAATAAGTTGCCACCTCGAAGTGTCATGATAGAAGAAGTTAATGCCAGGAAAGAGAACAGGCCCAGTGGGTAAGTTAACGACTGTTGTGTCCTTTTTGAATTATAACTGAATCTGGCAAAAACCATAACAAAGAGAGGTGAGGGTTACGCTAGAGAAAAAAGAAGCGCCTGAGACTTAGAGGAAAAAAACTAGGATAGTCTGTTTAAGAAGAGAGGAGGGGGAGGGAAATTGAGACATTTTAATGTCCCAAAATCATCACTTCAAACCATGGTCATCTTTGTACCACATGGAGTTTGGATTCTAACTCAAACATCGTTAACACTCCTCTAACAGATACATTATTCCATACCTTCTCCATAATCAGAAGGCAAACAGGTTTGTTCACGCTGACACTAAAAGGGTCTGTCTGCTTATGTATTCATTCAACAAATCTGTATTCAGTTGTCTTATTTTTATTCAGACCCAATCTAGAGCAAGTCTGCAAATTATGGTCTGGTGGCCAAATCTACCGACCACTTGTTTTATTCTTTACATTTTTAAATAGCTGGGGGGGGGAGGAAAATGGAAATATTTTGTGATATGTGAAAATTATATGAAATTCAATGGCCATAACGTTTTATTAGAACATAGCCTCATATTCTTTACATTTTTAAATGGCTGGGGGGAGGGGGAGTGAAAATATTCTGTGATATGTGAAAATTATATGAAATTCAGTGGCCATAACGTTTTATTAGAACATAGCCTCACTCGTTAATTTACTTACTGCCTATGGCTGCTTTCAAGTTATAACAGCAGAGTTGAGGAATTGAAAAGCTGGGGGGGGGAGGAAAATGGAAATATTTTGTGATATGTGAAAATTATATGAAATTCAATGGCCATAACGTTTTATTAGAACATAGCCTCACTCATTAATTTACTTACTGCCTATGGTTGCTTTCAAGTTATAACAGCAGAGTTGAGGAATTGAAATAGAGACCATAATATAGCCCATGAAGCCTCAAACACTGACCCTCCAGCCTTTTGCAGAATAAGTTTGTTGACACCTTCCCTAGAGGAGACATTTCCGCTTTTCTACTCTTTGTCTAGAAACTCTATCATTCAAAGACCAAAGAGAATAGAAGGGAGGTGGCAGTAAAGAAGGTGGTCTTGGGCTCCCTCTCTCACTCCTAATCCAACCCAAACATCTCTGTTTTTATCTGTTTTACTGTTTAGGGCTTAGATGTGAAATTTCACTTAAAAAAAAAAAGAGGTTTCTAAGGACAAAAAAAAGTTTTAAAATCAATGCATTAAGAAGCATATCACTTCTCTCATTCATATATACTTCAAAATTCAAGTATTGACCTATTTTCATGGTACATCCTGAACCCGGAATATGATTTGATCTCCGTTATGGAATTCTAATATAACATAGACCATTAATTAGAGCTACAAAGTGTAAAAGCTTCTTATCACATAGTTCAGTCAATGATTTTAGGGACTAATACCAGCATTACAGGGACATTCCACCCTATTGATTTTTGTGGCTTTTTATATTATACATACCTAGCAATAATTGAGTTTTAGAAAGATTTAGGAATAGTAAAATTATGTAAAATACATTTTTTTTCTAGAAATTGCTAATCATCTGGCAAAAGAACTAAACTAATAATAGAGGCATTGTAAGTATTTGAAGCACCATGTGTATACAGTATCTTTTCAAGGAACCCATCTTGTCTTTAAATAATATAGTGAGACTATTAGATAGACAGCTATGGGCATGGAGGGAAGAACCCAGGAACCATTCCAAATTGTTCAGCCTCATTGTTAACTTTTGGCACTTTTACTTGTTCTAAGATTATGATTATTTTATCTTTCTGTCTTCCCCTTGCTCCCCAATCTTCCTTTTATAAAGGTTTGGCTTGTGTTACTGCAAAGCCTTACAATCAGATTATATCACATACATAGACGAACTGCTGACGGATATCAATGCCAAACCCAACCTGTTCTCTATGCTCCTGACGGATCCACGTCTGGCTTTGGCCATCTTCTTTGGCCCGTGCACACCATACCAGTTCCGCTTGACTGGCCCAGGAAAATGGAAAGGAGCCAGAAATGCCATCTTGAACCAGTGGGACCGAACACTCAAGGCCACCCGAACTCGCACTGTACAAGAATCCCCATTTCCCTTTGCAATCTTACTCACTCTCTTTCTGGTTTTGCTTGTGGCTGTTTTTCTAATTTTCCTATAAATAAAAGATTACCTAAATGGCTTGTCAGATGCACAGAGTAGATTGCTCTGCCTGCCTTTGAATCTCTGAGAAACACTAGTGATGGTAGCTGAATTTCTTGCTGTATAAAGCTCTGTCTTCATAAGCAAGGCTGAACAACACAATGCAACAAATTAGAAAACTTGTTCAAGTAAATGTCAGTTGATTTGTCCAAGGTATCAGAGCTAATAAGTGGCTAAGTCAGGACATAGGTCTCCAGAACATACATCCAGGCCTCTTGACGCCACCATTGAGGCCTGTGGTTTCTAATGTTGAAATGACTTCAGAAGTCTTAATATATTCTTAATAAATATATATTATTTATTTTTATTGATTTCAGAGAGAGGAAAGGAATTGAACCCGGGACCCTTCAGTCCACAGGCCAACACTCTATCCATTGAGTCAAGCCAGCTAGGGCAATACAAATATTTTTTAAAAGAGTGGTATCATAAAAGTCATAGTACAAGGATATTTCTCTCTATGTCTCTCTCTCTCTTTTTATGCCCAAGAGTGTGTATGGATGTGTCTTGAATTTGGTGGGTCTTTCCCTTTATGTACACCGCTATGTTTCTGAGTCCCCACATGAATCTTTTTTCTCTGCTTATCCCCCCTCTTCTTCTCTAATGATGACCGTGCTAGACCTATTCTATGGCTGTAGTGTAGAACAGATTCCATAGAAAGAAAGGGCTCTCATTCCTCATTTTGAAAGCATTCCATAAACCATACTGGGAAACAGTATTTGGTTTTGTTCCTTTTCAAAAAAAAAATAATTCATTTCGTTAGATCCCAGAAATCTGGCAAAAGAGGAAGCATATTAAACACATATTTTTGCACATAAGAAACACTGAATTTTCAAAAAAAATAATTCATTTCGTTAGATCCCAGAAATCTAGCAAAAGAGGAAACATATTAAACACATATTTTTGCACATAAGAAACACTGATTTTTGCACATATCCTTTAAGTCAGGACTTCTGAGACATTTCATCTCCCAGAGTAATTTGACATTTTCAGAAATTCTTTTTAGTGTATACAAATAGTACCCTTTGCTGAGCCAGTTTTATGTGAAATATCTGTCTTTTTACATTTCAATGCTCTGGGTCTTTCAATGTGTCTCACTGGGAGGTAGTGGGGGATACTTAGAGAACTGAGCCCAGTATCAAAGGTCTAATACTTAATAGCTGTGTGAGCTTGAGTAAATCATTGACTTTTCCTAAACTTCTGTTTTCCTTGCTATAACAGAGGAGTTATAATACATCCTATGTCATAAGGGTATTGTAAGGATTAAATGGTGTGATCTACATACAATGCTTAACCTAAGTCCTGGTAAGTGTTTACTGATAGCTATCATTACTATGTTAACCTCAGCGGGATGCATGTTTTAGTGCTTGTTTTATGTTTTCTGAGCCATAGACCTAGCTCCTCATTGGACATTTGATGCACGTTTTAGTGCTTGTTTTATTTTTTTCTGAGCCATAGACCTAGCTCCTCATTGGACATTTCCAACAGTAGATGTCATGGGCTTCTCAAATGCAATATGTACAAAATTAACCTCATTATCATCCCTAACAGTCCCCCTACTCACTCCCTGATACCATCCTCCTTATTCTCCGTAGGGGGAAAAATGTGTATCTCAATAATTAACTATACACAATTTAAAAATAAATGGTACTCTGACCAAAAAATTTTCATTGTCATAACTAAAATGTCCCATCTTGTGCAAGCATCAAAACTTGCAACTACATATAATGGTGACGCTTCTCCCTCCCCCAAATGGCACCTGCTTGGGCAGCATCACTTAAGTCAGACAAAGACAAATACTGTATGATCTCACTTCTATGTGCAATCTAAAAAACAAAAATGAATAAACAAATGAGAAACAGACCCATAAATATAAAGAACAAGCTGATGGTTACCAAAGGAGAGGGAAGGGGGGTATTGGAACAAAAAATAATACTAAAACAAAGTAAATATGGACAATTTATGGAAATTTATGGGAGAGTCAGTATTTGCATTATTTTTTGAGATAAATCAGAAGAATTCAAAGAAGCTGGACCATGTGGAGGCTTTGCTTCCATGTGCTACTTCTCTCTCAACTCTCACAGAAATGCTTTGCTCACTGCTCAGGGCTGCACAGGCTTGAATAATATTAATACATTACTAGTTCTGCAGCAAGTTTGAGAGATACCACGGGAAATGCAGAAACGTTAGCAAATGGCTCCCCCTGCTGACCCAGTTTTGAAGCTTTTTTTAAAAAAAAATAACCCTTAGTGACTTCTTATACGTACAACATTGACTGGTCTAGATCAGAGAGTGTGTTAATTAATCCTATGTTAATAGGAAGAAACCCCCCACCCCCACCCCATGGCTTTCTCCATTTTATGAAATGAGTTGTGTGCTTCTGTTTCTCAGTGGGGGACACAAGGGTTCCAAATGGGTGGATTGGACTAGATCAGTGACTTGTAACTCCCTTGCTACCTACTTCAGGGGACCAAAGATACTTAAATGAGAGGAGAAAAAACTAAAGCATGCCTTCCCTGCAATCCAACTCACACTCCAGCTTTCTTATCATTTTTTTATTTCTTGTTTTTTTTCTTTTTTCAAGAGAGAGAGACAGACAGAGAGGGAGAGAAAGAGAAAAAAAATTGATTTGTTGTTCCATTTACTTATGCATTCACTGGTTGATTCTTGTATGTACCCTGACCTGGGATCAAACCCAAAACCTTGGCATATTGGGACAATGTTCTAATCAACTGAGCTACCCAGCCAGAGCCAGCTCTTTTATCTGTTTTACATATTGGAGTACCCACTTAATTTTATTAGAGAAAATGACACCCTACTAAATATTTGGAAGCCACTCATTCCTACTCTTAATAGAAAAGGATTCTATGTATAAATGTTCAACTCCATCATCTCACTAACTCTTGTCCCTGGTTCTGCGTACAATGGAGATGCCCAATGGGTATAGCTGGATATTCAAGTCTGAACTCCTGAAAGGCTATGAGGTTCTCTCAAAGAGAGCACTGGGTGATACAGAACACTGAATTTCTGCAACAAATTCAGCAGGAGTACATTCTTTCTTATAATGTTGTTCTATGTATTAACTGATGGTAGAAGTCACTAAAAGCAATTCTAGCCTGGCCAGTGTGCCTCAGTGGTTGAGTTTCGACCCAGATACCAAGAAGTCACTGGTTCAATTCCCAGTCAGGGCACATGCCCAGCTTGGATGCTTGATCCTCAGTAGGGGGCATGCAGGAGGCAGCCTATCAATGACTCTCTCTCATCATTGATGTTTCTATCTATCTCTCCCTCTCCCTTCCTCTCTGAGATCAATAAAAACATATTTAAATAAAAATAAATAAATAAACATTTTTAAAAGCAATTCTCGGAGGGACCAAAATAGCCCAATACAAGTAAGCAGGAACCTGATGTTCTAAAAGGATTACATACCCTTTAGAAATCTTCCCTGAATGCTTTTGGCAAGAATGCAGCTCTCTGAAAATATGTGATCAATTAAGGGAGTGTCCGCACTTTGACCATCAATTCTGCCAATGTGTATAGAAGCATTCGGACAACTATGAGAACTCAGACTTCTATACCCTAGAGCTTGCCTGCAATTACTTGAGCCTGAAAATTTCTCTGAGCTCATGTTATCATTCGCCTAACTGGTAAAAAGAAGAAACAATTCCAATGAAGTGTCTTCATTTCATTTTAGCAGCGCACATTGTAGTGAACCCCTCAAGGTATTCTGACTGCAATACGTAATCCTGGGTAATTAAATTAGTTGACCTGTTAAGATAAAATGTTGGAGGATATCCCCTGAAAATGAGTCTATAGATAGGTGTGCTCTCTACACTCTTAGAGCTTACCTTCCAGCGGAAAGATGGAAATTAAACAAATCATCACAAAATAAATATGTAATTACAGATTGTGACAAATGCTTTAAACTAAAGGGACAGACCTGGGAGAGAGAATGACAGAATAACCTGATTTAAACTGTGAAGGGATGTGTTAAGGAAGCTCTCTCAGGAAGTAACATTTAAACTGAGATGTAAAGGATTAGTAAAAAAAAAAAAGTGAAGGATTAAGGGTATTTCAGGCAAAGAACTCCAGGTAGGAAGGCCCTGAGGCAAAAGAGAGTACAGTGCATTGCTGGGCATAGGGCTGCTGGCAATTGGTGAGCAAGGAGATTGGTGGGGGAGAACTCCGAAGGATCAAAGCCAAACAAACTGAATAAATCAAGACCTTATAGGCCATGGGAAATATGTGTGCGTTTCCCTAAGGAAAATGTTGTAAACAAAAAGTACTGCGAAGGAATTTTTTAACAGCCTTATTGAGATATAATCGACCTACCACTCAATTTACCCATTGTAAGCCTGCAGTTTGATGAGTTTCAATAAATTTACTCACACATTGGAATTGGTCCTACATACAGGGTGTTACAATAAAATGTATACACACTTTGAATAATTATTCATTCCAATGGATTAAATCTGAAAACAACATCAACTGAGCTTTCAAAAAATGTGTGTGTCTACATTTTTTGGGACACCCTGTATTATAATTGGGTGTAGAACCTTTATTAATTTTTTAAGTGAATGGGCCATTTATATTTCTTCCTTTGTGATTTCACAATTCCTATTGTTTGGCTTTTTATGGTTAATGATTATGAAGGTTCTGTTTGTTTTACAAATATTAACCCTTTGTGTGTTACATATGTTGCACATATTTTCTTCCAGTCTGTCTGTCTCTTATCTTTTATTTTGTTTATGGTAATTTTCACCATAAAAACACTTTTAATTTTACCTAAGTTCTCTGTATATCTGGGGGGAGGGGGGAGGGCACAGGGGAGTGACTTCTAGGTTTGGTGTCTTGCTTGTGTCTTCCTCTCTCAAAAAAAGACTACGATAATCTTTGTATTATTTTAGCACATTAAGCATTTATTATGCTTAATCCTCTAACCAATTTGAAATTCAGTTCACAGCCTGCTGTGAGATAAGAATAAGCTTTTTTCTTTTTCTCAATAATAACCAATTTTCTCGGTAGTATGTATCAAATACTCCATCACCCCTTTGATTTGAAATGCCACCTTTAATACTGAATTTCCATACGTACATAGGCAAGTGTTACTGGAGTCTCTAAAGTTTATCCAAGGCATTCATTTTACAGTAAGAGATTACAGTAATTCCTGATAATAAAATCATGGTACCAGAATATCGGTGTGCTTATCTCCTTAGCAAGGGGTCAGGCACCCACCTCAAAGAGATATGATGTCAAGC